GAAGTTGAAAGCTCAGGGTAGGGGTGGGGTGCAGACTGGAGGGCCATGTGGGTTGCTAAACTAAGTTGGCTGACCTGGTCCTGCCTGGGAAGGAGACCCACAGAAAGGCTCCCGAGGGGGCTGCTGTGTCATCTGTTTGCAAGGAGCCCCGTGGCCTGCAGAGACCGGTGCGGGGGTCCTAGCAGCGCAGGTAAGGTGCGGCGGCAGTGTCAGTCGGGTGCCGGGACACACCTGCACGCGGCGCCTCTGAGTTGAGATTGAGAGGGATGGGCAGCTGAGTGAGCACTGCTGCTGCTTTACGAAGGCTGCACTCGTTTTCCTGAGAGCAAAGCCCTGGGCTGTAAGCCCAAGAAGATGAATGTGGCCAGAGTAATTCCTGGCTTCTCGACAGATTTTAGGACCGGGGTGAGGGACTGGCACAACGCAGGCGTGTGTGACAGGGTCCTGTTAAGACAAGCTCACGCTGTTGCCTCGCTATATCCCTTAGGCCTGCACGCAGTCTTTTGACAGTTCAAATGTTGTTCTTGAAATCCGGGTTTCCTGTCTCTTTACCTCCCCCCCCCCAAAAGCAGCTACAAAAGCTCCTGTATTAAGTGTCTGGTGCTGGGTCTTGGGGAAGGAGCACCTCCTGCCATCTCTTTAATCCTCTCCACAGCCCCCTGTGGGGATTTCTCATTTCCAGGGGAGGAGGCTGGGGCTCAGTGAGGTCCAGGAGCTTTCAGCTGTGGGAAGGAGGTCAACCTGCAGTCACACAGGGTCAAGGAGAGGATCAGCCTGGACCAAGAACCTGTCAGCTCTTATAGGATGCTCCACCATCTTCGCCCAGAGCAGCCATGGCTCTCCAGAGAAAAACAGCCTATAAAATTCATGCTCTCTCTGCATGTCTTAGAGAGACTGTGTGTGTCTGTGTTCATGCAAAAATGTGTGTTATATTATTTTAAAAGTTCTTGGGAATGGGGCCAGTATTGTGGCACAGTGGGTTAAGCCAACAGCTGCTCCATTTCTGATTTAGCACCTGCTAATGCACCAGGGAAAGCAGCCATGGCTGGCTCAGATGCTTGGACCTCTCCACCCATGCGGGAGACCTAGAAGAAGCTCCTGGACCCTAGCTTTGGCCTGGCCCAACCCTGGCTGTTGCAGCCATCTTGGGAGTGAACCAGCTAATGGAAGACCTCGCTCTCTGTCTCTATGTCTCTAACTCTGCCTTCCAACTAAAAAACAAACAAAGAAAAAGAAAAAAAAGTTCACGGGAAGCTGGAATTAAACTGTTCCTGTGCAAAAAGCTGGAATCCATGTCTAATATTTTCAAACCAAGACTCTTGTGTGAAATTTTTGAAGATCTCTTCAGCATGCGACAGCTGAGCCTTGGCCAGGCTGGAGCCAGGAACTCCATCGGGGTCTCCCACACTGGTGCAGAGGTGCAGGTACTCTAGCCACCGCTTGCAGCCTCACAGGGGGAAATGAAGAGGAAGCCAGGGACTTTGGAGGCAGAATCAGCCTCAACCAGGCTCTCCCACGTCTTTCCTTTTAGAGGCTGCACAATCGCCCCTAATTCAACTTTAAAATATGTTTCAGTTTGTTTATTTGAAAGGGAGGCAGTCCGGGGTAGGGATTGAGAGAGAGAGTATGAATATTTCTTATCTGCTGATTTAGTCCCCGAATGTCTGCATCAACCAGGGCCAGGCCAGGCACTCATTATCCCAGGTCTCCCTCGTGGATGGTGGACTGCAACCATCTGAGCCATTATCTGCTGCTTGCCATGGTGCAGGCCTCAAACCCAGGCATGCTGATATGGGAGACAGGTCTCCTTCACGTGTCCTAACCAAACACCTGCTGGGTTTCAGGGCACTAAGTTGGGAGTGGACTTGCACTCCTTTTTGTGGCCAGAGGAGGGCGCGTTTTCCCAGTGCCCGCAACAACTGACATTCGTTGGCACCATCCTGAAGGGATTACTCTGGGCTGTTTTTATCAACTGGATGACTTTCACTCCTATTCGTTCCTGACCAGGAGTCCATGGGTTTTTCTAAAGTGTTGCCCAGAGCTGTGGACCAGGAATGTGGGGAGGCCTGTTGGAGACCTTGAACTTGGTGGGTATCTGCCGGGCTGTGGTCAAGAAGCCAAGCTCGCTCTGGGGAAACAGAGCAGGCTGTGCAGGACTCAGGAGTGACAGAGACCCGCCCACCCCATTGGGGGCCTCGGTGCCCTCGCCACGGCGCCTGCTGAGCCAGCTTGGAAGTAATGAAGGACACAATAAAACAAGCTGAAAGTTCACTCCATAAAAAAGAAGCGATAAAAATAGTAAAAGCAGGCCGAGCCAGTAAACCTCCACTGGGCAGAATCTTGACCAAGGGGCAGTCAGTAAAAGCCATGGTTAGCACCTGTTGCCTCCCTGCCCTCAGGGGGAGGGACAAGAGCTACTGTCACTCTCAAGAGGAGGAAAAAAGGTTTGGGGACTTAGAGCCTGCACTCAAGGGGCTGGGCTGGGCCAGGGCCTCCTGGCAGGGGCCCCTGTGGAGCACAGAGCACACCCACTCCCTTTCAAAGTTAGTTGTGGATCCTTGGTCCCAGGTCTGCCCACAAGCAACAGAAGCTCAATGGGGGCGGGGAGGGGGCCAGGCGGCCTGCAATGGCAATGGACCCCATTGCCCTACGGGGAGACCCCTGAAGGTTCTGTGGGGAGCATGCAAGGCATCCTGTGAGGCACTGCGTGACACACCTACGCAGAGGGATTAGGATGGAAGCTCCCTGGTAGGCCCCAGACCCAGGCTCAGCGGGGAGGAAGTGGTTCTAGAAGATGAGCTCACAGAGCAGAGAGTTCTAGAAGGTCATAGCAGAGTCTGCAGCCTGCCCTGCCCTGGTGTTGTCTGGACACTGGGTGCCTGGAGCTCCGGGGCAGGAACATGGTAGGGGTGTGCCCGAGCTGAAGCAGTGTGGGCCACAGCTGCTATTGTCACTGTCCCCACCATCTTGGTTCTGGTGAGGAGGATCCCCCCTCCATCAACAGGCCCCCTTTCCCTTCCTCTGAGAGCTGTTAGCCAGGGCTCTGGGTTGGGCTGACCAGAGAGGGGTATGGACAAAGCAAGGGGGTGGTGAGAGCTGGGGCATGCTGCGGGAGAGGAGAGGGTAATGGTGGGAGGAGGGAAGGGGGAGGAGGTGGAAGAGAAAGAGCGAGCGAGAGTGAGCGAGCCTGCTGGCACTCTCTGACCTCCGAATCACCAGGCCGAGCCCTAGAACCCAGCCCCTGCTGGGAACCGCTCAGCACAGCTTTGCCTTTAATGTCCCTTCCTTACACAGTGCGCAGTCACCGTGCAGCTCCGAACTCAGTCTCCAGTAAATGAGGGGTATTATTAATCTGACTCCCCTTGACCTGTCAAGAGGATTAGGTGAGATTAAGTTAGAAAACATTGAAGAAAGACTTGGCACAGCATCTAATGAATTTTTAAGACCTCAGCAGGGGTAGCTGTCTCGCCTCCTCTCTTCCCTGGCACCTGGATGGGAGTAGCTCCCGCTCGCCTGGCTGTGGATTCAAGGTGCCAAGGATTGGGAAGCAGCCACTAGGCAGCCGCTCTGATCCTGCGACTGCTGGCCTCAGGTAAACAAGATCAGGCCGCTGCTGTTTGGAAGCTGGCTGTGTTGGGGGGAAAAGACTGACATGCATGACAATTCAGGGTGATGAGCTGTGGGGTGGGGTGCTGGAGGAGGGAGCCTGCCAGGAGAGGCTGGCTCTGGAGCTCATCCTGATGGGACTGCATGTGTAAGGGTGAAGTGAGTAGAGGGAATGCACAGGCTGATGCTCTCTATAGCTGGGGCATCCTGAGTGAGCCTGTGAGCAAGGGTGAGGCTGGCACAGTTGCATTCTAGAGGCCGTGGGGACCGCCAGAGGTTGGAGCCACTGTGTGGGTGTTGTGCAGACAATGGCACAGCCATTTGGTTCCAGCACCATTGGGATGTCTGTGTCTCATGTCTAAGTCCCTGGCTCTGCTTCTGAGTCAGCTTCCTGTTACATATGCCCTGGGAGGCAGCAGGGGATGGTTTGATAAGTTGGGTCCCTGCCTCCCTTGTGGGAGACCCGGATGTAATCCCTGGCTCCTGGCTTACAGCTCAACGCAGTCCCAACTGTTGCCAGCAGACGGGAGGTCTCTGTCACTTTCTGTCCCCTTGCCTTAAAAAAATAAAAAGTCATTTGGCCTAGTGGTTGAGATGCCAGTTAGGATGCCCGAGTCCTGTACTGGAGTGCCTGTGTTTGAGTGGGGGCTGAGGGACAGCAGAGGGAAGGTCAGTAATCCTGAGCAGGAGCCACCAGGCCAAGGTCACCCATGTCCACCAGCATGCTGGGACCAACGGAGCAGGAGAGAGAAGCAGGGCAGGCAGTCTGAGGAGAGAAGGAGGGAGGGGTCTGTGCAAGGTGCTGGCTCACAAGAGGCAATGGGCATGAAACCCAGCTGCAAGTATGGCCAGGGGGCTCGATGGGAGCAAAGACAGCAGCTCCCACCTCCAGGGCAGCAGGTGCATCGGGAGACTTGGCTGTGGTCCACGTCAAGGGGCGGGGTTGTGCTGGAAAGGGAGGCTCCGGTTGGTTGATTTATGTTGGTGATCCTGCTCGGCCCATCCCCTGTGGGGATAGCTGCTCTTGGCCTTGGAGTCTTGGGAAGGCCTGTGGTCTCTGTCTAAAGCTCAGTGTCTCCTTGGTCGTCAGCTCTGGGGCCTCAGGCTCAAACAGCACCTGGCATGCGCTGTGGGGTTCAGGCTTTGTCTTTGCTCCCATTTCCTGTTCTGTTTCTCAGTGGCTGGGCAGGGACCATGGGAAGCCCTGCGGGAGGAGAGGAGGCAGGACCGGCGCTGGGTTGGGTCCTCGCGCTCCGCCTACCTTCATCTCCTGTTTCTCCAGGGGAACCTTCAGACCTGAGCCATCCTCTTCCTCTGAGCTGTCACCATCTGCGGACGGATCGTCAGCTGGTGGGCTGCCCATCTCAGCCTTGAGCCAGAGTGGCAGGGGCTCCACGGGGGCCGCCCGCATGGACGCCAGGCGCCGGGCACCCAGCAGGCGGCTGCACCCCTGTGGGATTACTGTACTGGCCCTCCTCTCTCTGCTCAGCTGCCAGCTCCCCTCCGGCAAGGCCAAGGTCTACAGCCGCTGCGAGCTGGCCAAAGTGCTACACGACTTCGGTCTCAATGGATATCGTGGCTATGGCCTGTCTGACTGTGAGCACCCCTCAACTGAGCTGACCCCAGCCCCCCCACTCTCTCCAACACTGCGGACAGCAAGCAATGGGTGCTGGAGCTGGATCAACCCTTTGAGTTTCCCTGTGGGCAGCATAAATTGCTGAGCAACATGGTACCCAAGACTCAGCTGTGACAGGGAAGGTCAGACATTCCGACTGAAATTGGGTCAAAGCCAGCTGAGCAAATACAGGAAGTCAAACTTCTGCAGGTGGCAGTTTTGAAATGCCCTCTGGGAATCCACACGTGCACTAATATTTCCTCTGTCACATCCCTCTGTGTGGATCCCACATACGGCTCTCCTAACCTTGCTTCTAAAGATTTCACTCTTGGCCATTCATCCCAAGAAACACTGGGCCCTGCTAGGAAGGTGGGCGAGTTGCTGGCCTGGGTCAGGAGGCCTGAGGGCCCGTGCTGACCCCTGCTACCTGGGGAAGTCACTTTGCCCTCTGGATGCCTGAGTCACTTACAGAGCATCCCAAGGCTCGCCCTGGTCACCCGGAGGCAGGTGCGGTCCAGGGAGGCAGGCGTGTGGAGCCTGCCTGGGAAATCCGTGGCTGGGCTGGCTGACCCCAGGCCTGTGTCTGCCCCACGCAGGGGTCTGCCTCGCTTACTTTACCAGTGGTTTCAACACAGCCGCCGTGGACCACGAGGCTGATGGAAGCACCAACAATGGCATCTTCCAGATCAACAGCCGCAGGTGGTGCAAAAACATTTCCCAGAAGGCCCTCAACTTGTGCCGGATTTACTGCTCTGGTAGGGTGGCCCTGGGCCCAGCCCTGACCCCTGCTTCCTCCCCAGCTCAGCTTGCCCCCTCAAGTCTCTGAAGAAGGACTACTCCCTACACCATCACCAAATACAGGAGGGGGGCTGCTGTGGGGAGAGGGAAGGGAACAAGTGATGGAGGGGGGAGCTGTCTGTGCATCTGACTTGGGGGTCCCGGATAGGAGACTGGCCTTAGAGCTACAGGGAGGGGGAGAGGAATAGAGATGCCTGGGCTTTCGGATGGGTAAGAGATGGGTAAGGGTTGACATGTGTGCGTGTGTGTGTGAGAATGAATGAGCGAGCGAGAGGCAGCAGTCTGCATGGCCAACCCTCTGCTTCCTCATGGTGCTTCCCTGCCTCCCACCCCAGATTTGCTGAACCCTAACCTCAAGGATACTGTTCTGTGTGCCATGAAGATAAGCCAGCAGCCCCTGGGGCTGGGTTACTGGTAAGTCACGTGGGCCCAGAGCCCTGCTGGGTGGTGCTCCTGCCTGGGCACTTGGCACCTCAGTCTCAGATGTTCATTCAGAAAAGAGCACACACAGCAGTGCCCCACCTACCTGGCAGAGCTGCTGGGAGGGGGCGGTGAGCTGCGCAGCTGGTGAGGCGTGTGGTGGGTCCTGCACACGCGCAAGGCGGCATCCCTGCCTCCAGGGGCAGCAGGGTGCAGAGGAAGCCCTTGGGCCTGCAAGGGGGGAACTTGGGAAAAACTTTCTTTGCTGGGGGAACAAGGCAGCTAGAAACTGCCTTCATTTGTTTAGAGCCTCGCTCCCCACTCCCTCTTCAGCATTTCTTCCAGGGGACCCCCTGCCTGGGTTCTGGCCCCTTTTCCACCTGCCCTGCCCTGCCCTGCCCTGCCTCACAGCCCTAGCTTCCTCCCTGCGATCTGAGGTGGCTCCCTTCCCTCATTCTCCGCCCTCAGGGAGGCCTGGAGGCATCACTGCCAGGGCAAGGACCTCAGCGACTGGGTGGACGGCTGTGAATTCTAGGAGCTTCTCGGCCTGGAGCAGACCACGCACAGCAGGCTGGGCGATGGACGTGGGCTGGGACACGGGCTTGGGCAGACAGGCTGCCTAATAAAGTGCAGTTGCGTGTGTCAGTGGGCCGCAGCTCACCATGTGCCCAGTGGGAGCCAGAGTGTCTCGGTGCCTCCTCGCCTCACCCTGTCCACTGGGCTGGGTTGCAGGGGCTCGCCAGTGTCGTGTCCTTTTCTTGGGAGCTGGCTGGGAGGGTCAGTGTCTTCTTTGCCTACCCCTGGCAGTTTGAGTTTTGGGTGGTCAGATTTAGCAAAACAATAACAGGAAAAGGTGCCCCAATTAGCTTTGAATTTTGGATATACAAGACATAACTAATGATCAATATATCCCAAATGTTGTGTAGGGGTACACTTTAAGTCTAAAATTCAAAGTTCTGTGAGGGTCCTGCAGTGTGTGTGGCACCCTGGCTGGCTGCGGTGTGTGCCTTTGGCTTGTGTGAGAAGACCCTTGGGAAACACTTCGTGTGGCTGCAGATGGCCGTCACCATGCCTTGGCACTGGCCCTGGAGACTGCTAGAATACCGCGGCCAGGGCAGGGAGCTGTCTCTGGCCCAGCTCCTCCCCGCCCTCTAGTGGTGGGAGATTCAAGTGCTGCTGAGAACCATCCTAAGGTCCCTTGCTGGGTAAGGGATTGTGAATTCTGGCAAATGGCTGGATGTTGGGGTGAAGGATGCCAGTGACACTTCTGTAGCTTATCTCATGACCCTACAGCCGGAGGCAGAGATGGGCACCCTCAGAAGCTCCAGAGTTTCAAGATGACACAGCTGGTGCTGCTGGGGTATGGGGAGCCTGTCAGCCTCCATTGCTGGGCTGGAAAGCCCAGTGGGGTAGGAGCAGGGGTCAAAAAGATCCACACACCTACACAGCAGGGATCGCCATTGTCCAAGCCTGAGAATTCTCTTCTGCCCCTAAGCCTTGGCTCAAGCATCTCCATTGCCAAACGTGCCCGTCCCAGCTTCCATCTGAGTCCCAGAGCATCTGTGAGAACGTGCTCTGGCCCGGCCAGGTTGGCTAGCCCCGGCCGCCTCCCGCAGCGAGCACAGCACGCCTGGTGCACCTGTGGAACGCCTGCTGCTCAGGAGCTTGTGGTGCGCACGCCTGCTGCAGCCCCTGCCCAGCTAGCTCCTCTGAGCCTGCTAAAGGATCAGATCGAATTCCTTTTGAAAATCCACAAAAGCTGGCTTATACTGAAGGCAAATGACCCCCAACGGTGATGCCTTAGTTCAACAAACCCACAGATCAGCTTGGAGGAAGGCTGCCCAGGTCGTCCAGCCCCAAGCAGTCTTCACAGCCACTCTCTAGGTGTGGGTGGGCTTTAAATAAGCGAAACCACCATGGCTGCCTTGCTCAGATGTGGGTGGAACCCAGCAGTGGTGTAGGGGAGGAGGGGAACTCACAGGTCACTCGGAGAACCCTCAGCATCCGAGTGGGTGGCTTGGGTGTTGATGCACCCCTAAGTGGGCCTCCTCCAGCACCCCCACAAGCATTCAAAGTTTTCACAGAATCCCTCCTCTGTTTTGGCATCCCTAGTCACTGCTGCTCAGTCATTCGGCAGTCTGCGGGACAGGCTACGGCGCAAAGAGCAGCAGGTGTCGAAGGTTTACAAAAACAACGAGAGAAAAATCTTGGCCAGGGCCTAATCCCATTTACCCTCTTATTTCTTCCTGCAGACTGGAAATGATCATCATACATGTCCTTTCAGAAGGGGGACTGGTGCCTGCCAGAATGACTTTGGTCATGATTAGTCTGGATCCTCAGATACCAGATGGGTGCTGGGCTCTAAAACGCCTCCCCACCTCCAACACACATTGTGTGCAAACATTTTATATATGCCCATGTGGTCATGCCCACTGTTTCTCAATACATCATTGATCCAAATGAGATTTAAGAAAGTTTTACCAAGAAGAGCTAAGAGGTGCCCTTCAGCTCATTTCACCCTTGTGACAACCCTGGGGACTGGGCGACATTGCTGTTTTGTGGATGGGAGAACACAGGCTGTGAGCAGGTCCCATACCATCTTGGGTGTCTGCCTCTCACGTTGCACCCGGACTCGTAGACTGACTGGTCTTAGCAAGCAACAAAGGGGCTTGCCTGTCCGTTTCCAGGTCCTGTCCCTTGATTGTGGAGGACACGGCTACCCAGAGAAGCACCATCAGTGGTTCAGTGTCGTGTTCGGTTTACAGTGGCTGTGGCTGACCTTCATCCAAGGCCTTTGCCAGCCCTGGTGCTTTGTTCTTGAGAAAAGTTCACCAGAGGATCAACTGAGCAAGAACGCCTCCTATTTGTCCTCTAACAGGGTTGGGTCCTGTAGCCGTGCTTTACACCCCACCAAATCATCAACCTGCTAAAACCTCATGCCCCAGTAGGATTCCAAGGGTCTCAAATGAGTGTGGAGAAAGCTGTTAGCTCAGCGAGTGTAGTCATTGACTCTGGGGAATGGGGCAGTGGGGACAGAGCATGAAGGACCCTGGCCATGACACTACTCCCAGCCTGGTGACAGGTTCTTCAGCCCTCAGCACTTGCCTACATCTATCTGCGTGGCCACTATGTTCCCCTGGACATGTGTGCGACCCCAGTTCCCAGAGCTTTACCTGGGAATTTGGATTCGCTCCTTGTGTGTGCTTTCTGCTCCGCTCCTAAATTCCTGGAGGGCACACGGCAGACAGATCCTCCCTGCCAGTGGGGTGAGGGGGCCTGGACCCCACTCTCTGCTTCTGCTGCGTCAGCCCACCTGTGCTGCTGAGCGCTGTGCGGGGATCTGGGCCTCCCTTGCAGAAACCCTCGGGCCCCACGTGTTGTCTGACCCTCCAACCTCAATGGCCATCTCTGAGTCTGGGGAGGAAGTGGTCCCAGGGTTGGACCTCTGGGTTCAAGTGCCCTAAAGTGAGCTTCACAGAAGGTATTGAGCATCTTGCCAAACCCAGGCCTGTGAGCAGGGCCCATCTCTGTCCTCCTCCTGCGTGTTCACCCAAGACCCCTCCCCACAACAAAAGGGCTGGTGGCACCAGCAGCTCCTCCCCAGGCCTGCTCGTGGCTCCAAGTCTCAAATAGCTTCCTGCTGGAGAGCAGGCAAATTGGCAAATTCCAGCTCTCTCCTCCCCAAACAACAAAACCTCAGCTGGGCCCCTGACCTGGGTCCCCAGAGAAGCGTCCTCTTCTTTCCCCAGGTGGCCAACCAGGCTGGCTCTGTTTTCGAGGGGGCCATGCGGTGTGCATTGGTGATTTGTGGAAACTCCTGGCCCTTGGTGCATCCCAGCGTTCCCTGTTTCCCCAGTCTCTTGGGACCTTTGCCTTTACATCTGGGCTCTTGCCCCAAATGATGGTCACAAGACACCTAGCAGTGCCTTGAATTTAGACTGAGTCTCCTGTTAACCATCCATGAAGAAGGGAGCTGGCTGGTGATTCTTGCTCTCTCGAGCTTCCTGCACACCTCTCCCCACGCCACCCTATTTTCTGTAAATGAGTATGCATACAGGCTCCAAGCTGAACAAAGCAGAACCCCTGTATCAGAAAGGCGGTGCACTCCTGAGCGCTCTGAGGCTATCCACACGTGTTCGAGTATCCTTTGCTGCATCACAAATTGATCTATTTTTTTTTTTCCTGGAGAGTCAGATATCCAATGAAGCAGTTCAAATTGCAACTTAAGCTATAGATTTTTAAAAAATGTATGAGGCTGTTAAACTGGAACAAGGCAGGCGCATCAAAGAGACTCCCAACTAACTGAACAGACGTTTAACTCGGCCCCCAACCTCGCCAGGAGCCGTCGGAGGCGGCCCCTCAGATCTCAGCTCCTCTGCCTCTGACAGTCTGGGCAGCAGCAGGGCACTTGGCAGCGGCTGGAGTGAGTCTGTCACTGTGGGTGGACTTCCCGCCCCCCGGCACGGAGGGAAGTTAGTGCACTCAGTTCTTCTTGCAGCAAGGGAGCGTCTCTTGGTGGGCCAACAATGGAACTGGGAACCTGGGAGCTTGGGGTGAAAGCTTTGGCACAGCCATACCTCACTGTGTGACTTCAAGCCTATCCTGTCCCTCCCTCCTGCTCAGGGAATTAGGGCACAACAGGGTGGGTGTCTGGTGAAGATGCTCACGTCCCATATTGCCTGGCTCTGCTTCTGATTGCAGTTTCCTGCTGTTGTACACCCGGGGCGGTAGCCGGTGGTGGTTCAAGTGCATGGGTCCCTGTCACCCACCATGGGAGACCTGGATGGAATTCTGGTCTTGTGCCTTCCCCCTGGCCTAGTCTTGGCTGTTGTGGGCATTTGGGCAGCGAACCAGTGGATGGACGCTCTTGGTCTCTCTGCTTTTAAAATAAAGATTCAAGAAAATAGGACAGGACCTGGTGTGATGGCTCAGTGGCTAAATCCTTGCATGCACTGGAATCCTGTAGAGGCACCAGTTTATGTCCCGGCTGCTCCACTTTCCATTCAGCTCCCTGCTTGTGGCCAGGGGAAACAATTGAGGACAGCCCAAAACTTCTACCTGTGTGGAAGATCTGGAGGAAACTCCTGGCTCCTGGCTTCGGATCAGTGCAGCTCTGGCTGTTGTGGCCACCTGGGGAGTGAACCAGATATCTTTCTGTATTTCCTTCTCCCTGTAAATCTGCCTTTCCAAAAACAAATAAACCTTTAAAAAATGGGGCATTAAGGTGGTTCAGAGAGTCTGGGATGGGCAGAATTATGGCTGCTAAGACATCCACATCCTAACCCCTCCAGGCAGTGTCTACATGACTGTCCACAATATGAGACTGTTGAGGATGTGATTACGCTGATAACCTTGGGTGAGCACGCTTGTGTTTGAGATCACCGAGGTGGCGGTCATTTGCCACAGCAATGACAGAACACACATAGGGCTTTTCTTAGCAATGGCACACTCTGTCTCAGAACCCAAACCCAGTTTTGTTCAGAGCCGGGGCAGCCCCAGCCAATCATGATCCTCATTACTGCCATCTCCTGGCCAGCCTGGTGTTTTCACCCTCAGAGGGAGACCAGAGAGGTGCGGGATCCCAGTACAGCTCTGCAGCCTTGGGGACAGGCAGGCCATAGGGTCTGGGGTGCTTGTCCCTTCACCCTAATGGAGCAGTGACTTCCTTGTGTGAGTGGAGAGGCAGCCTAAGAGGTTGAAGGGCAGAGCGGGAGCCAGACATGAGCCCTTGGTCTTGCAGGTGCTTCCTGTGTGCCCGTGGGCAGGCTCGGGCTCCAGGAGGCCTTTCCTACTGCTTTGGGGGAGTCTGAGTTGGCAGGGGGGCCATTGGAAGGCTAAAGGGAGTATCACACAGGGGCTACTGGCATGATGCTTCCGAGCCAGGAATTCCATCCTAACAAGAAACTCTCCTGCACAATGCCCCAGTGGGCGAGGCAGGTGGTCCTGCGGGGGGCAGGAGGTGGGCTAGGGGTAAGGGAGGGAGGCCACGCTGGAACCTGTGTCCAGCCAAAGCCCGGCATCTTGCCGGCTCTCTGGCAATGGCTCCTGTAGCCTGTGGTTTGAGATTACAGTTGACACTGCTACTTCTAAGGGGCTGGGAGGAAGCAGGGCACAGGCGGAAGCAGAGGCTACAAGGGCATTCCAGTGGAGGGCGTTGGCTGCCACCCCCTTCCCACCTGTGGTCTAAGGGCAGCTCTAGAAGGTGCCTGGCACCTGCTAGCCGGTCAAGAAGTCAGCGAGAAGCCATTTCCCAGGCTCCCAGTTGGAATAAATCAGGGAGAGCGCCCACTATGAGACATCTGCACTGTTCTTTGGGACATCACCCGGCCCACAGGACCCTCCCCTAAGGTTCTGGGGGAGAAGGACCTGGGGACGGGGCAAAGGCAACGGGACGCAGCCATTTCCACAAGACCAGCTTTTAATATGACCGTGGCTTGAAGCACGAATAAATAAACGCCAAAGAAAATGGAAACAGAAACATCAAAAACCAAAAACCTCAAACAAAACCAAAAACTCCGACAAACAAACAAAAAGCCCCCAAATCAAAACGAATGAGACTGTACAAGCCGTGTCACGGGGAGAATGACGAAGTGCCGTCGCTGGGCGGTGGGGTCCCCCAGGCCACCAGACCGTCACAGCAGACACAGGGTGTGTGTGGTGGGTGGAAGATGGGTGCTGGCCAGCTGGGGCCAGCCGGGGTCGGGGGAAGGGCATTGTGGGCAGGTGAGGAACGTTCATAAATGACACAAGGACCAGATGGAGCAGGACGCTGTGCGCTTTCCTCTGGACTGCGTGGTTTCTCCTCCGGGTGATGTTGGGGCTGGCACCCGGTCCCACCGCACCGGCCGCAGGAAACCGCGGGGAAGGGCTGTCGTGGACAGGACGACGTGGAGTGGGCACCCTACCAAGTCTGAGCATGCAGGTGCTTTGTACATCTGGCAGTGAGATGTGATGGCAGGTCGGTTCTGGGACAGTTCCAGAGCGTGACGCCTGTCTCCTGGGAGGGACGCACGGCGGGGCCTGGGGGCCGAGCGAGGCTGGGCAGAGTCTGCGATGTGTGCATAGGGGGCTCTTGCTTCCTTCCGGCTTCAGTCCCACCTGACTTGCTGTCCCCTGTCCTGGGCTGGGACCTAGAGGTCTGTCTGAGGGGGGGTGTGAGAGGCCCGAGGGGTGTCAGCAGGCGATCTCCTCCAGGGTGCCCAGGGCCGTCTGCAGGGGCACGTTCACAGTGTGGCTGATGGTTTCGGAGTGGTTTGGCATCGTGTCACAAGTGCTCTGCAGGGACAGGAGAGGTGCACTATCAGCGCCAACGTGTCACTGTGCCCCTGGCAGCCAGCCTGGGTCCCGCATACCCAGGCTACGCTGGGGCAGGGGCTGAGTCCTTGTTGCTTCCTGGGCCCGGGTTGAGCAGCTGGCTTGTCCTTATCTCTCTGTCCTCAGCCGCCCAGTACCCCAGACTCCCCGATGTGCCCAGGGGAGGTGCTGTCCACTGCTATGGGGACCTCTATTGGAGCCCTGGTGAGGAAAAGGCAGCCTGTGGCCAGGGCCGGAGCAGCAAGTGCAACCTCTGAGGACCACAGCCTTGCTTCTCAGAGCAAGCCTCAGGGGGCTGTAAGTCTGCAGGGTGCCTGGGAGTCTGAGAGGGAGGGAGCAGGGACATTAGCCAGGAGGCCGTGCCAGGAATCTCCTGGGCAGCTGGGAGAGGCAAAGCTGGATAAGGGGAGGGCATGACTTGAGACACCCAGAAGGCAGGAGAAGGGGATGCAGTGGGTAAGGAACCACCAGTGGCTGAGCACTTAGCATGAACTTGGCATTGCACTGAATGTTTCACAGGCTCTGTATCAATCTTCAGACAGCCCTCTGAGGTCCCTAGGATCCTGTACAACCTGCCCCAGGCACACAGGCAGGAGGGAAGAGACTGATTCAACCAGACCAGCTCCAGGACAGTTCCAGCAGAGCCCCGGCCCCTCCACACTGCCTTCCCCTGCTGAGACTGTCCCAGGGAGACTGTCTGCAACCAGAATGGGAGCCGGGGAAGAGGCAGACATCCATTTGGAGTTTGCTAGCTTGGAGGGAGCAGCAGCCCTTCAGTGGGTTTGGCTTTTCCAGGGTGGGAAGGGCAGAGAGGACCTGAACCCAGGAATTGGATGAGCTGGGATGCAGAGGGGTACACATACAAGCGAGGGGCTGCTACCCCAGCTGTGGGAAGAAGAGGCAGTGTGGGGCCGTGCAGTTAGACGCGCCTGTAGTCTGGCTGTGTCTTTGGTCTCTAGGCCTTCACTACTTCCGACATGAAGCAGGGATAAATATGGCCCTTCCTCTAGGTTCCCTGTGCGGCTGCAGTGATACGAACCCCCAAGACTACATGCCTGAGACCGTGAGGCATGTGACAGTCAGTAGCCACCATTTTGCTGCTGCTCCAGTGAATCTCCTAGGATTTCCAGTACTCTCCTGCAGACAAGATGGAGGCCAGAGAGGCCCCTGGGGATGGGGAAGCTGGCTTACTGAGCTGTAAAAGTTGGGAGCAGCCCTACAGCTTGGGAGAAGCTAGACTGGGCCAGGAGGGGCCATCCATGGCTTACCTGTAGACCTCTGGGAAGAGGCTCAACAGGAATGGCCTTGGATTTGTGACTGACATAAACCATGGACGGGTGTGCAGTGAGTCACACCCCTTCTGCCTGGCCCTGACAACTGGGCTTATCCCAGAGGAGCTGAACCCTTCCATGCAGTGGGTCGCTCTTACCACGTTCTCATCGTGGCTCCCTTCATCCTCCTCTTTGCCGAGCAGGTCTAATAGCTTCTCTTTGATCAGCTGCAATTTAAAAAAAAAAAAAAAACAGGAAGGGGCCTGGTCAGGCTGAGAGGTGGGTGCTGAGGCAGAGGGATGGTCTGGGCTTAGGCTGAGGCAACCAAGGCCAGAGCCTGGCCTGGCAGCCAGCTGCGGAAGGACCCTGGTGGTTTGGCTGATGTGGGGTTTTGTTGCAGTAGAGAGGGGGCCTGCAGGAGGGAGCGGAGGGGCCCTGGGGGTCACAAGTGGTCCTGCTTTCTCCTATGAAAGGTGATGCCCTGTGGATGGGTAAAAGGTGCTGGTGGGTGTGACTGGCTCCCCAGGGGGTTGGAGGACATGCCTAGGATCTCCATCTGAGGATGGGCTTGCAGGGCAAGCTTGGTATTCACAACACCTCAGCTCACCAGACCAGGGCATGCCTGGCCTCATACCCTTTCACTGTTGGTGATAAGGGATCGCCCTTCACTGGGGGCAAATGTGTCATGACTGTACAGAACACTATAAGCAATCATAGGGAAGGGCAAAGTCTGGCCAAGGGGACTGACGGGGCTTGGGGGGTTCTCTAGGGGACCCGTGTCACCAGCCCTGCAGACTCCCATTGGCAGGCCTCTTCCTCTCGGGAGGCCCCGGGGGACTCTGCAGGTGTGGGCATGCCTCCCGGCTTCTGAGCCACTGTGTCTCGGAGGGAGATGGGGTTGCTGATGCAAGTACACACTGGCCAGGTCACAGGCTCTGGCTTCCTGGTGCAGGTTAGCCCCTAACTTGGCCTTGCCCTTCAGGCGGTTGGCTGAACCCTCTAGGAACTTGGGGTTGAGTGGCCCTCTGCAGAGTGGCCCACTGTGCTCACTGCCACACCAGGTCTGGGAGAGATGTAGGCAGGAAAGCTGACTGCCAGCTGTGCTGGCCTGTGACTGGAGCGTTCCGAGGATTGTTCCGGCTGCCTCTGGAGGGAGACACGCTCCCAGGCTGGCAGGTGGGAGTGCTGGCCTTGCCCTGCTGCCTTCTCAATGCCAACACTGATGGGTCTGATTAGGAAACCCCTGGAAGAATGGCGGGGAGATGCCACTTAGGTGCTGGCCACCCAGTGGACAGATATGCAAGTGTATATGAGGGAGCATGGCACATGGCCTGTATGTGCCAGTGGTGTGTGTATGTATATACACATGGGGGGTGTGAATGTGCGTGCAGGTGTGGGCACACCAGTGCAGAAGCCCCCCATGAGTATAGACAATACAGGGCTCTGTCACCCCTTAGGAGGCGTCCTGGACTTGCATTTCTGTCCCACTTCCCATGGTCCTCTGTATCCAGAACCCAGTAATGAACACTCAGGGTACAGGCAGAGATGCAGGCTGGGGGCGCACGGCCTCCCCGGTGCGTTGAATCTGAGTATGGGGGCAGCAGGAGGCACACAGCCTGTGGCTATTGCCCAGCACCATTCCAACGCTTACCTCGTAAATATAATCAAAGAGCTCTAGTATGGTGAGGATACTAGCACCAATAAACAACCCCATCTGGCCACCAATGTCACCTGGAGAGAGAGGGAAAAGACCAAAGCGTCGGCGGGACTTGCAGCACCCAAAGGAACGAACGGATAAGAACTGGGAACCAGCCCTCCACACGGGGTCCCTTTCAGAGGGAGCTGGGAGGGCCACCCTCACTGCACAGTGCTACATGCGGCTGGATTTCAGCACCCGGGGTGCTGAAAGGAGACCTCCCGGGCCACATGGCTGAGCCTCAAGGCACTGGCCAGCCCCCTGACTGTGAGCCTCAGGAGCAGTGCCCCACAGATGGCCACCTTAACCCAATCTTGGCACAGGCCCTGAGGTCACAGATAGCTATCTCCTATCTCTCCCGCTTAAGGTAAACGTCCAGTCTGGGATTGTTTTAGGGGATAGGCCCTTGTCCTGGGGTGCAGGGACCCTCTTGGCCACTGTGTAGAATATCCCTTTGTCTTTAGATTTCCTTTGTATGCCTCTGCCGGAAGACTGTGCACAGATGCCCCGCCCTTAGGATGCTTGGCTCTAGAGGCAGCTTGGAGACAGAGGCCAGAACAGCCACAACAGACCAGCTCGGTGGCTTTGACCATCCCAGGAGTTCTGCCTCTCAAGCATCCTTAGTGGTGGTGGTGGGGGGGCGCTGGGAGGGATGGAGGAGATGGTAGATTGATCTCCAAGACCACCAGTCTCAGGCTGGGCAGGGGACAGGATGGGCGTGGTGGGCATTATTGCGGTGGGAGTGTGGTCCTACTGCCGACTCCAGGCTGGCCTCTTGGTGTGGGCACCTCTTGATGGACTGTCTCCATGGTGGAGTGCCCACATTCCCAGAAGAACAAGGAAAAACGGTGGGGATGGGGCCCAGAACAGCTCTGCCTCCTCCCCAGTCCCACTCCATTTCCTCCTCTGTGCTTAGGTAGGCTTGCTGGAGAATGTGGGCTCACAGGCCTGTGTGGCAGGGGTGAGGAGTGTGTGTGTGCGTGTGCACAGAGGGACTAAACACAGAGTGCTATGCCAAGGGGTGAATGCCAGTGCATGGAGTGTCTGCACCTGTTTGTGTAGAAGCAGCGGTTATACGTGGCCCCGGTGGTGGCTATCTACAGACTGGGCACTCGGAACATGCTTGCAGCATGCGTGTCATTTTGTGGGTTTGTGCAAGTGGGCAGAATGTGAGTGTATGTGTTGGTGTCTGCTGAGGCATGCTGTGTGTACAGGCTTGTCTGCAGCTGTGGGGCGCTGGACTACCGTGGACACACCGCCCCAAGCGGGGGGGCAGTGCAGTGGCATGTGTGCCTAGGCAGTGTGTGTGTGTGTGTGTACACATGCGGATGGCAGGAGGGGAGAAGGGCTGTGTGGGAGGGCAGGAGGGGCTGGGCCTGATGGCACAGGGTTTGTGAGCGGCACACGCTGTCGCTGCAGGAGGTCCAGATGGCGGCATGATCTCCTCAGTGGGCTATTCTGGGTGGCAACAAGACGCGGGAACAAGCTCAACCTCATATGTGATGCAGCCGTGACAGATTCAGAGCACAGCGCCTTGCTCTGTGTGTGTGTGTGTGTGTGTGTGTGTGTGTGTGTGTGTGTGTGTGTGTGTGTGTGTGTGTGTAACAGAGCAGGAGCACATGCTGGGGGAGGGAGGGGCAGGAGGCATATCCCGAGTTGTTCTTTTAGAAAATAAAGGCTGAAGCCACCATGTGACATATGGCAGGTAGCCGGGCGGGGGAGGGCAGAAGACACCCAGGACATGTGTCTCTTGGTTCCTTGACCCCTGAGTGCGAGCCACTTTAACCCAGCTAAGCTGAGCTATTGCCCAGGCCCTGGCTTCCTGGAGGAGGTGTATAAATGCTCAGCTGGGGCCCAGATTTCTATTTAGAAATCACACTTGTGGATTTCAGCCAACCCACTTTGCTGCTGATGGCCGGGAGGTCCAGCAAGCTGAAGCCACTTGCCCCTGTCTCCACAGCTGGCTCGGCAGTCTCTTCCGTTTCTAGCTGAAGGCATCTGCCCATCCATGGGTGCTCCTTCCACCTAGCGTGGCTCCCAGAGGCAGCTAGCCCTTCCAGAAGAAGCTGGCACCCATCCTTTCTGAGAGCAGAGGCTGCTGGGAGAAGGGTGTGAGCGCCAGGTCCTTCCATGGTCCTCTCTCGGTTTGTGAGTTTTGGCTGGGGCAGGCTGGTGCCTGTTGAGTACCAATGGGGCCGAGGGTTAAGTGTGAACTCATGTGGAGTGGGAGGCAGGTCTGTGGACACCTGGGTTTGACAAAGGACTTGCAGGCCAGGGGTCATCTCTGGCTCTCTCAGTGCAGCCTCGTTTCTCTAAGGGTGAGTCCGTACCTGCCCCGGCGACCAGCCATGGGCCAGTCTCCCCTGACAGGGCTCCAGGGTGCTGCCCCCCCCCCCCACAGGGGAACAGAAGGCCATGGGATTCAGGGGAGCCAGGTTGCAGTCCCCAAGTGAACTTCTATTTTTTTTTTTTAATTACTTGCTTTTAATTGAAAGAGTGAGTGAGTAAGCAAACTCCCATGTGATTTACTCCCCAAATACCCATAATAACCAGGGCTGGGCTAGGCCAACATCAGGAACACGGAGTTTCATTTAGTTTTCCCCAGTGGGTGGCAGCATTGTCTCCTCCCACTTCAGCAGGAAGCTGGAATCCAGAGCAGAGCCAGGACTTGAACTTGGGCATTTTGATATGGAATGTGGGCATTCCAAGTGGCATCTAAACTTCTGGCCCAAATGCTTCTTTTAGTTCTTCATTGCAGGGATGTGGAACCTAAGCCTTAGATTTCAGAATGAGCTGGGGGCTAAAATCTCCCCCGCATTGGGGTTCTTTCCATCCTGCAACAGGGGGAGTGTAAGGGAAGGGGCAGTAAGTAGCAAGTTCAGGTTCAAAGGGTCGGCTTGCTCAGGGGGCTTATGCATCTGTCTGCCTGCTTCTCTGCCCATCCTCCCAGCCCCTCCATCTCCCAGCCCCCCATCAGATGTGGAAAGTTGTGTACCAGGTGCTTTGACTCACCGAGTAAGGCAGCGACTTCATACGCTTTCTTCTGTTCAATTGTCTCATAATTGAGAGCTTCAAAAAATATATCCAGCACAAGGATGTTCTCTCTGCAGAGGGAAAATTCAGTCCCACAGGTGGTGAGTTGAACCAGCACCAGGGCTCCTGACACAGCCCCTCTGCACAAATGGAGATCTGGGGGCCCCGGGAGTGGGGAGAACCTGCGCAGCCCCACAGTCAGCAGTGCTGATTCCGACCCAGGACTGGAGCCCTCTACCGGCAGTCCCCAGCCCTACCCTGGGTTCCTCTTTGTACCTGTTGCATCCCGGGAGCTCTGCCTGCCTGCCTACCAGGCAGCCGAGTCCTGGAAGGGGCTGCCTGGGTTCTCATTGCCAAGGCAAGTTCAGCAGCCCCTGAACACATTCTGCATTGGCCAAGGTGCTGATGACCTCCTAGGCAGCCTTTGCCCACTCCTGGGAGCCCCCCACTGCCCCGCTCCAGGGTGGGACACCTCCCCTCGCTATTGACTTGCTAGGGGGATTTGGGAGGGAGCAGACCTGTGTCTGGCTGGGTGGGGTGGGGTGACTTCCTTCTCTCCTGCCCCCAGACAGCTGTGCATTCACTGGTTTAGCTTGGCAGCCAAGCCCGCGGCTGCCTGCAGCATGTCTGCTCCACACAGCTCCTTTCCTACCATGGGGCTCACAGCACCCTGCACATGCTTTGTTCTCACTCCCCTGAGTAAAAGTCGCCCCAGCATGGGGGCTGCAGACAGTGTGGGCAGGAGGGCGTAGCTGAGCAGACAACAGGTTCTCCTGTCTTCACCCAGGGTTGGCCCAGCTGCTGCTCAGAGGATCACTCCCTCTTTCCGGGATCACGGCCCTTGCTTCCTGATAGGGCTCCTTCATCCTTGCCACCCCCATCACCAGGCCACCCCAGCTCTGCATCCATGCTCTGCCTGCTGTCTTGCTGAAACTGCTAAATTGACTCAAATGAACCAACAACACTTTTAAATGCTCAGCAGCCCCACGTGGCTAGTGACCGTCGTACTGGACATAGTGGACAGAAGGAGGACGCACCCACAGTGTTCTGTAAGAGAGTAGGCTCAGAAACTCATGGGAGAATGGAATGAAAATTCCTGCACATCCGCCCTCCAAACTTCTTAGAGTCCGCTTGTGCAAACCTGAGTCCTGTGGCTTCCCTCTTAAGGCTATCTTGGGGCTCCCTTGTCTTGGGGGGGACAGTGTGTAGGTCTTGCTCAGCCCACAAGATCCCCTGTTCTCACACGTCCACTCTCATCTGCCCTGTGCTCTCTGCCGAGCCTCTGCTGGGGAGGCCGTCCCTCCTCCGTTGTTCGTTTATTTACTCCATAAGATGATGAAAGCTGTCCCAGATACTCCGCTGGTCCTTAGTAAACAGCAGAGAGCTCAGGGGGTTTTCAGACAGGTGGGATAGACAGGTAATAAATGAACACTGAGTCACACACCATGGTGCATTAGGTCACAAAGGAAGACACGCAAGCACTTGGCGAGAAGAGTATCAGGAATGAGCACCACGACCTTGTGGTGAAGTGGTTAAGCCACTGCCTGTGAACCTGGCATCCCATACAGGTATTGGTTCAAGTCCCAGTTGGTTCACTTCTGATCCAGCTCCTAGCTAATGTGTTTGGGAAAGCATCAGAAGATGGCCTAAGTGTTTGGGGGCCCTGCCACCCAGGCGGGAGACCTGGACAGAGTTCCAGACTCCTGGCTTCAGCCTGACCCAGTATTGGCGGTTGCAGCCATTTAGTGAACCAGCAGACAGAATTTCTCAACTCCCCTTTCTGTAACTCTGCCTTTCAAATAAATGAATAAAGTTTATTTTAAAGTGAAAACTATCAGGAGGGAACTTGCACTAGCTGTCTGAAAAACTGATATTTGCGTGGAATGGGAGAGCTCTTTGGTGGAGAGTGGAGGGAAGGGCATTCTGGGCAAAGGAAACAGAATGTGAAAGCTCTGCCTGAAAAAAAAAAACCTGTGCAGCTTTCCCTGGCGCGAGGCTCCTGCCGGCTGCGCTGAATCTGCCACTCTCTGGTGCCATGCACAACTGTTAGAGCCAACAAGGCCGCTGCCCTTTCGGACAGTCCGGTGAGTCCCTGTCTCTTCCCAAGCTTGCCAGTCCCTTTGGGGTGGGACTGAGCTTTATTCCTCTTTGGCTTTGCATTTTGAGCATAGAGATTGGCATACAGCAGGTGTCCAATAAATGTGTGCCAACTTGAAAATCAACTGCGTGCCTTTACTTTCCCCCTCCACTGCTCCCACTTTGCCCCCTAGTGGCCTGCTTTCCCACCCTCTTGGGGCCCCGTATGACGTACGAGATGTATTTTTCAGATTTGTTAAATTTCTTCTCAAGGTACTTGGCTGACGTTTTGCTGGGGATCTTGACCATGGAGAGCTCCTTGTTGTAGCGGGTCAGGTTGCAGGGGGTCCTGCAGAGACAGTAATTGCTGTCCTTTTCCGCCAGCAGACCTAGTTGGGGAGAGGGAGGCAGGGCTTAATTGGGGGAGGGGGATGAGCTGGAGTTATTGGAGGAGGTATTGGTCCTAGCTGGCCAAGTGGGGACGGGGAGTTGAGAGAGGGGAGGGAATTGTGCTTTCGATGCTGGTTGGTCTTGGTTTCTTTCCACTTCCTTTTACAGTCATGTTATTCTTGATGATCTTTTGAGGGATGGTGCTTGGCATTGTGGTTAAGATGCCCACCCTCGAATCACATCAAAGTGCCTGCTTCCGATGATCCCCGGGAGGCAGCAGTAATGGCTCAAGTAATTGCATTCCAGGCACCCGGGGGTGGGAGAGATGGAAATTAAGTTTAGAGATCTGTTGTGGGATTTTGAGGGACAAAAATCGTGAATAGGACCTCTTTCTCTGGTTGCAATGTTCCTTCTTTGGTCTAATGGCCTCCAAGGGAGTCTTGGCCCCAGTCCAGGGCTTTCTTTTCTGCTCCTAACCTTAGTGTTCTCATCCACAAAATGGGTCACCATCAAAGCAGATGTGAGTGACCACCATGTATGACCCTTGAGGCTCTGTGGTGTCCCCTGACTGGGCTCCCTAGGAGCTACACCCATCATCCTCTGCCTGGCAGGGGGGCCTCCCCACCCATCTGGAGGCCTTCTCTCCTCTTTTAGGGATGAGGGAGCCTGAGGCAACATTGTCCCCCAACACTGCAGGGACACACCACAGCCAGGTGCTTGAGTCTACTTCCCCACTGCACCTTGACCTTGTCCAAACTCCTTGCCACATGTGCCCCATTCACTTCCCAGTTTTAGAGAATTCAAGAAGACCCTTCCATTGTTGATATTGGTTCTCCTGGGTCTGCTTTGGGCAAGAATCCCGATATGTGGCTTCAGCAAGCATGCCCCTTCCCTTGGTGTCTCCTGCAGGTGACCGCATGCATGGACCCTCCATTTGCCTCCTGGCTGTAAGTCTCCAGCTTCTATCCTTGCTCCAGTCTGAGCTGAGCCTGCTCTCTGTCCTGACTTGGATGGCAACAGTCCCTCAGCCACTGAGTGAGCAGCAGGACTTCTTCCTGACCCCTCTTCCCTCTCTGCCTCCGTTCTCTGGCCATGGCAGAGCTCTGGCTACTCCCAGGCCTGGCGAGTCTTTGTACATAGCAGGAGCCAGCTCTTCTCCTCTTCCAGGCCCTCCCCTTTGGCTCCCCCTGGAGACACAGACATGTGAGTTCAGTGCCTCTCGCTCTTGACTTCAGCACATGCAGCTACTGGACCAACTCGAGGCACCTAAAATTCCCTCTTGTTCTCTTGATTCTGAGAGCTTCCTGGGTGTGGAAGGAGGCAGGTGGCTCTTTCTTGGGCAGGAGTCTAACTACAGGTTCCCAGCAGGCTGGCTTTGGGAGGGCTCTTGGCCTTACTTTTGCGCACACAGGAGGAACCTGACCTCACTGCCCCCACCTGCCCTACACTCAGTGGAACACAACTGTTGTAGGATAAATTCAGCTTCCCTGAGTAGACACCGCCAGAGATGCGAGAGTTGGAGTCCTTGAGCTTCTTTTGGTACCCAACTAGTTGGGGCTGCTCCATCATCTTCCACCTCCCCTTGCTTAGCACCTGCTATTCCTCCTGAAATCCTTCCTTTGTGATAGCCACTTCTCTGCCCGAGCCCCTGTCCAGTTGCCATCCATTTGCACTGTCTCCCTCCCCATCCTTCTCTCCTTCTTCCTCATCCTCCTCCCCTGTCCATGCAGTGGGTCCTCTGTCCCTTTTTTCTCCACCAGGCAATGGATCCCCACACCTCAGGCATCTGCTTGGTATCCTTCCCCTTCCCCAGTACTGACCTAGGGCAGGTTCCGCACACTCCTTGTGCTGCTCAGGGGTACAGAAAGGGGCATCCCCTGAAAAGCAGAAACACAGGCAGAGAGACAGAGAGTAATTCAGGTAGAACCATGCATGCCAGCACATCTCCTCTGCTGGCTCGGCACAAGTTATGCCTGCAGGGACCAGGAGAGGGCAGCAGTAGGGGAGCCGAGCATGGTGCCCTGGGGCTGCAGGATTGTGTGCAAATCTGGACTGTGAGCTAGGCAGGCCACTAACCACCCCAAGCAGTAGACAACAGGATTCACCAGGCTAACTCCTTCTGGGTCACTCTGGAGGCTGCCACAGGTAACTAGCGACAGGTGACACTCCCTCCCCTGGAGGACGGGAGCTGGGGACACCATGCAGCATCTTTTTAACACACGGTCCTCTTTCAGTTGCAAGTGAATCTGCTTTTGGTTGCAAGATTTGAGGCTTAAGCATCCCATTTTCCAACACAACAAGTTGAGGCCACTGTGATGTGGAAGCTGGGGCTCCTCCCAGCATGCCCTGCTACTGCTGTGTGGTTCCTCATGGCTTTGCCCCTAACTCCACTTAGCAATTGCCATATCACTGGCATGCCATGGCGGGATACTCAAGCCCCTAACTGCTTGCCTGTGGCTTGGCTCTGGGAAGAAACCTTCCTGGCTGGTGACTCGTGCCCAGCAGTGGGTCAGCAACCTTCCCCGCACTGCAGTCTCTTCTCTGGGGTGTCCTTTTGTGGGAACCCCAAACCTCAGTTCCCTTCTGTGGGAGCTGGAGAGAATGTCTACGTTCCATCATTCCCTTGCTGCCCCAGCATGAGACCCTTGTCCAGAGCGAAGGAGCAGGTGGGATTTCTCTTTTACTCAGGATGACTCAATGTACTTGCCTTTGTCTCCCATTGCTAGGAGGCTTGTGGGCCTTTGTGTTATCACTCAAGAGGGCATGAGTTTCTTCTCTGACAGTCCTGCTGGATAGAAATAGGCACAGATCCCACCCTGGCCACAACCTTGGTCCTGCTCTGGCCTAGTCCCTCTCTGGGGCTTGTAGGGGAAGAACCACGCCCAGCTTCTAGGGGCCAACCCATAGCCAGGGCCACCCATTTTTCGGACTTTGCCTATTTTGGTCCCAGTTCCCTCTGGCCCTCACTGAGTCATGGTTTGGGGGGCGGTGATCTGTAGGACTCAGGGGTTGCAATTGATCCCCCAGTTCAACAATCCATCCACTGACAAGCTGGCAACCAAATCACCTCGACATAGTACCTTTTGACAGGGACAGTTTTGAAGATCAATATTTGGAGGCTGAAACCACTAAGAGATTATTGATTATGAATAAATAATTCACAATAAAGTTGTGAGCACATTTCTTTAAGCACAGGTTATAACGGAAAACAACTGCTAAAGGACTGACTAACGTAAGGGTTTAGTGAGGTCAACGTAATGGGGGATGTGATCACAGCCACAGGCACACAGCGACTTTCCCGGCACATGGTGGGCCTTCAGGCAACACAACTTGTAGTTCCTTCTCTCCATCGCTGATTTCCACCCCTTTTAAACAGCATAGCCTGGTTTTAACTTGTAACAACTAGTGATTGTGTTTGAAAGACACAGAAGGGGAGGACCAAGAGGTTTGGTAGCTTGTATCTCATCACACAGCAAGCACAGAGGAGCCTGGCTTTGCAGCTCGAGTGCCTGCCTTCAGCCCTGTGATGCTTGCAAGCTGCAGCACTAAATTCCCTCACTCATCCCAATCCAGCTCTCATACTACACGCTTCTGCTCTGACACGCTGACTGCCTCTGAAGAGACAGACATCAGTATATGTGCTTTATTGTTATTATTATTGCTGGCTGATCGACTTCTGCTTCACTTGAAAGTTTCAGAGATCTGGGTTTTAGAGGGGGAACATCAGGGTCCAGAGGCGTGGCCTAGTGGCTAAAGTCCTCACCCTGAATGCACCGGGATCCCATATGGGCGCCGGTTCTAATCCTGGCAGCTCCACTTCCTATCCAGCTCCCTGTTTGTGCCCTGGGAAAGCAGTTGAGGACAGCCCAAGGTCTTGGGACCCTGCACCTGTTTGGGAGACCTGGAGGAAGTTCCTGGCTCCTGGCTTCGGATTGGCTTAGCACCAGCTGTTGCAGTCACTTAGGGAGTGAATAATTGCATGGGAGATCTTTTCTGTCTCTCCTCCTCTTTGTATGTGACTTTGCAATAAAAATAAATAAATCTTAAAAAAAGGGGGGTGGGAATATCTACTTCTTTGAACGGGTATCATATTGGGATGCAAGAATCGCAGGCACCCAGGTCTCACCACAGATAATTGGCAGACATTGGACATTGGGATGAATGTTCTCCAAGCATCTGGATGCTTCTGGGGACTTGGTAGCTGAACTGGGTGTTTCTATCTGCCTGTGAAATGGAGTGGTTGGTGGAGGGATTCCCACTACGCTTGGCATAGTGGCTCCCCTGTCACCCACCTGGCATGTGGACCATGCGGCAGTTGCAGTTCTCCACGATGTAGCGAGTTTCACAGTCAATCCTACAGGCGGTGATGCTGTAAACAGGAAAGAAGTCGAGCCCCATCTCTGACGATCGGCACTCGCCCCACGGTGGGGGCAGGTATGTGAGCTGCAAGGCAGGAAGGAGGGAGCAGGGTCAGCCCCGAAGATGCCGCTGGTGGGGCCTCAACGGACTCAGTGGCTCATTTGTCCATTTCTCCCATGGGTGCACAGTGTCTACTGCAGGACAGTTCAAACTCCACTGCCCATCTGGGCCTCCAGCACTGGCTCTGATACTAGCCTTCCTGCCTTGTCTGTTCTCAGACTCTCACTCCTGTGCCACTTGTCTTCTCACTTCCCCATGTTATTGTATCACATCTCTTGGTACAACCACTGTAATAAATTCGAACCCCAGACCTAGACCTGGAGGACACAACCCAGGGCAGCATGCCGTGGCTGAAGGAAGAACAGTCACAGCTCTTGATGATCCTTGGCCCACCCTACAGCAACCTGCGCTATGTATCAAGCTGAGGACACCCTTTGGGGAAGATGAGTCTTCTCTTCTTCGAGGGCCAATGGACTATACATTTTCTTCCAGCATTTCTGACCCTTGCCTGGGGAGGACGGAGAGGGCAAAGAATGAGGGAATTGATGGAGGTTGAACACTAGCTATGTATTAAGCCCTAAAGTTACATCCTTGAGGCCACCTTTAGAGGACTGGAAAATGAAAACAAGCAATAAAATGTACACATTTCACAAGCGCTGTTGAGGAAATTCTGACAAATGCACACACCTATGCAATCACCACGCCAATCAAGGCATAGAGTACTTTGATCATCCCAAAGATCTCCTCCCCACTCCTAATCAGTCCCCACTCACAAGGGGACCACAGTCACACATTCTATCGTCACAGGTTGGCTTTGCTTGCTCTCAAACTTGCTGTAATTGAAAGCTTATACCAAACACTCTCTTTTGTGTTTGGCATCTTGCACTCAACATGCTTTTGAGAGTTTCCCATACGATCAGATACAGCAGTTCATTTCTTTTTATTAGCAAATAGTTTTCCAGGCTATGAATACAGCATAATTTGTTTATGCATTCACCTGATGATGGGCATTTGGATTATTTACAGCTTTTGATATTTATGAAAAAAGGCCCTTATGAATGTTCATAAGTCATTCTGTAGAGATGATTTTTAATTTCTCATGAGCAAATGACTGGAAGTGGAATGGCTAGACCATAAGATAGATGATATAGATACAACTTTCTAGGAAGCTGTTACCTAAGGTGGTTCTACTGCTTTCTGTATTCCTACCATCAGTATTATGGGGTCCCCAGTTAGGTCACATCATGCAAATCTTGATTTGGTCTGTTTTTTAGATCTTAGCCATTCTTATAGGTTCATACTTGTATAATTCAGTTTCTCTTCAGAGTTCTCTGATGGTTAATGACCTTGAGGAACAATTCTACATGTTTATTGGTCATTAGTAAAACAAGAGATACTTCAAGTATTTGTGGCTGAATTCAAGCAAAGAGTGAACCTGTGCATTTTTCATAATATGTACTTTCATAACTTTTTTTTCTTTTTTAAAAAGAAAGGTTTATTTATTTGAAAAGCAGGGTTGGAGAGAAAAAATATATTTTCTATCAATTTGTTCATTTTCCAAATGGCCACAGAAGCTGAGACTGGGCCAGGCTGAAGGCCGTAAGCCTGGGACTTCATCTGAGTCCCCCACATGGGTGGCAGGGGCCAAAGCCTCTTCCATTGCTTTCCCAGGTACATTAGCAGGGAGCTAGACTGGAAGTGAAACAGCTGGGGCACAAACCATTGGCCACATTGGATGCTGGCATTACCGGTGGTGAGTTAACCCACTGTGACACAAGGCTAGCCCTCCATGAACTTCTGAAGACGAGTCGTACGCAAGGATTTCAAAGGTTTGATGTATCACAATCAAATGAGCCTTTAATTCCATTTTCCATGAATGTTTAAAGTTCCCTCACATTGTCTTTGGTAAAGGGTCTGTTTCCGTGTCTGGCTTTTTTCTCACTGTACTTCTGATTTTCTGTAGAGTCTGGATCCACATCCTTTGCCAGATGTGCACATTGTGATGTAATCTGTTCATTTTCTTAATGGATCTATTTTTCCTATTTTAAAATTAACTTTATTAAGATACAATAAAATGCATTAACTTTAAGGTACAGCATTCTTGAATTTTTAAAACTATATTCATCCTTGTAGTAACCGCCGGCATAAAGGCACAGATCATTTCCACTGGCCCCCAGAGGGTTCCTATTTGTGGTCACCCTGCCCACCCCCACCCCCTGCCAGCAATCTACATCAGGAAAACACTCAGCTACTTTCTGTCCACAGGAGTCAGTTTCATCCATTGTAGGATTTGATATGAATAGAATCACGGAGTATGTATCTGGCTTTTCTCACAGTGTAACATTTTTGAGATGCACTCATGCTCTAGTTTGCATCAGCCGCTCATTCTTCTTTCACTGCTGGGTTTTACTTCTGACTTTCTAATCTTAATCCTCGTCTCATGGCAATAGTGAGAAACCCCAGTGTGATGCTGGACAAGACTGGAGAGGGAGTACTCCCGTCTATTTTGGATCTCAGGTACAAAGTGTTCACTGTCTCACCCTTCCGTGTGTCAGGTACATTTCCATCAGACTGAGGGCATCCCATCTCATTTGTAGTATAAAGAGTTACGTTTGCTTTATCATCAGTGGGTACTTTTTTTTTTTAAAACAAGTGCATTTTCTGCTTCTGTTGAGAAGATCATGTGATTTTGTTAATACATTAAATGATATTGATTAATCTGCAGATGCTACACTCACCTTTCATTGCTGGGATTAACCTCACTTGGTTAGGACTTATTACTCTCCTTACATATTACTCAATCTGTTTACCAATTTTTTAAGATTTATTTTTATTGAAAACACAGATTTACAGAGAGAAGGAGAGACAAAGGTCTTCTGTCTGCTGGTTCACTCCCAAGGTGGCCACAATGGCTGGGGCTGAGCTGATCTGAAGTCCGGATCCCGGAGTCTCTTCCAGGTGTCCCATGCTGGTGCAGGGTCCCAAGGCTTTGGCTGTCCTTGATTGCTTTCCCAGGCCACCAAAGCAGGAAGCTGGATGGGAAGCCAGGCAACCAGGACATGAATCAGAACTTTAGCCACTGGACTACCACACTGGGCCCTGTTTACTAATGTTTGTGGAGTTTTTTTCATTTCTCTAACTGCCCTATTGCTCCTTTCCCATGAAGCTTTGCTTTACCCTCTCATCTTCAGAGTTCTAGAATTGGCTGGAATTTCACGTATTTCTTGTATGGCCTTGGGTAAGTCATTGGTCCCCTCAGTTTTTCATTCCCTTACCTGTAAGTGAGGATGGCCCTTGGGGGTAGATAATGCCCAAAGCCAATTAGGAAGTTAATGGTATATGGATTTAGAATGGAGTGGGTCGGGCCCAGTGCGATAGTGTAGTGGTTAAGGTCCTTGCTTTAAACATGCAGGGATGCTATATGGGCACCAGTTTTAATCCCAGCAGCTCCACTTCCCATCCAGCTCCCTGCCTATGGCCTGGGAAAACAGTCGAGGACAGCCTAGAGCAGTGGGACTCTGCACCTATGTAGGAGACCTGGAAAGAAGTTCCTGGCTCCTGGCTTCGGATCGGCAAAGCATTGGGGAGTGACTCATTGGACGGAAGATCTTCCCCTCTGTTTCTCCTCCTCTCTGTATATCTGCCTTTCCAATAAAAATAAATTAAAAAAAAAAAAGAATGGAGTGGGTCTCCTATATTGTTCAAATTTGGATGAATAAATACTCATGCTGGCTTTGTAAAGGAGCACTCATGCCTTTTATTAGAGACTATGGCCCTAAAATAAGATACTTTTTTTTCTTCTACTAAAATGGATTCTTGCAACAGATGGACAATGAGTATAGCTAGTGAAGTTGTGCTATGTTCGAGGCCAGCCACTTTGTCCCACTTCTACTTTTGGCAGAGGTTATAATGCAGAGACTCTACCTGCCCTGCCAGGCCGGCTTATCATTTGTTCCAGTGACTTCTCTGAAGCCTCACACATGACAGCAGCTGGAAAATTATAGCGTGCACAGCAGCAGTGCTTGCTTGTCAAGGGGTGTCTGAAAGTGGGTTGGAGTATTTGTTTATCTTGGGGAAAGGAAGCCTCAGGGGAACCGGGAAGCACTGTCTTCAGCTATCTGAAGGGCTGTCACAGGCTAGAAGAATTAGATTTGTTTTTCTGGAGTCTCAAGGGAAAGAGCGACACAAGAAGAGTTGTAAGAAGGGGAAGAGGGAGGAAGCACACATTTACTGATGTCACAGGCACCGCGATAGTCCTGTTATCTGCATTGCATTATTCAGTCCTAAAGCAGGACAAATACTGTCTCCACACGGTAAAGACCTTTCTAAGCCACCAGTGTGATTCAGCAATAGCAGCACTGTCTCGGGAGCGAGCTGTGCTACACCAGGGCCATTCACGCAGAGGCCGCGTAACTACTTGGTTGGGATAGGAACAGACGTTTGAGCACTGGGTGAAAATGACTTGTAAGGTCTCCCCCGCCCTTATCACGGAACCTGACTCTGTTATTCCAATCTGAGAAGTAGAGACACGCAAATGATCCTGGCAGAGCCTTGAACTGCACCACTCTGTCATGGTGTGTGATTTGGGAGATCTTATACTATTTACCCAAGCTTCCAGGTCCCCCATCTGAGTCACTAAGTTCAGTGCCCAGCAGGTAGTGAGTGCTCACCCAGAGCCTGGTACTCACGCCCTGCTCCCGGTTAGCTCCTTCATGTTCTACGACGTTTTCATCCATTCAACACAAGGCCCAGCTCCACCGCTGTTCTCTTGACAATCTGGCTCTACAGATCCACAAACCTCTGCCCCTTTTGGCTTAAGTTATTGTGAAACAGCCAAAACAAGATATCACCAGGTCGTGGGATCTGTGGGCCTGGAGCTGAGAGGGAGAGTGAAATCAAGAGAAAAGTGAGAGTTCACTGGTGTATAACAGAGCTGGGGGTCGAGTGAGCCAGACTCGGGGGAGAGGAAAGAACCCCAGGATTGAGTCCCAGGTGTTCCGGCATTTACCTCACCATCTATACTC